GAAAGAGGCAGGAATGAGGACACCATCTGCCACGGTAAAAATGACTGCGCATTCTCAAACTGCAAACAAACTAATCCCCAGTCAAGAAGCATCACGCAGAAGCTCGAGTACCAAGGAAAGGAAAGCCAGGGGAGTGTCAAACTACTGACTCCCGTTCCAGGAACTCAAACCACCATGCGTAAACAACCTCCTTTTGGCTTCCCTGCGGAAATTCATGGGTTGATTTGCTGTTCACACATGTTCACAGGTAGTTTGAGGGTAAATGTATCTAGGTCCTCCAGTAGAGAGGTTAGAATAAGGGTACCCTTTTCTGGACGTCTATTTTAGTAGGGAAACTTTAGGTAAAAGGGTACTACTGGGAAACCTAGGTACGCTTCAAAAATCGCAAACCCAAAGCAACAGGTCTGCGTCCCCCCACAGATCCCCCGCATCCGCCCGCCTGAAACTGGGCGACCGTCGGCCTAAGACGCCGAAAACGGGTGCCGAAAACGGGTGGGACCCAACAGGCAGGCCAGGCAACAGGCAACCAACAGAGAGACAAAACGGTTTCTAGCAAAGAGAAGTTCAGCCAATGGCGTGTTCTGAAGAGGATCACCATGCCCGCATTGCAGGGTGGTCTAAGCAATGATTCCCTTGAAAACCAACCGGGGACAATGACACGCATTCATTTCAGCAACTGGAAGCTTCTGCAATAATCTGGATTTTAACGGAACGCTTATTTCGAGCCCAGCCACCAAAAAAACACAACAGCTAAGAAGTCACAAGGTTCAGGGTTTCGTTTTGGACAACAAATGCATGCCTGTCTTGGCAGAAAGGATTTGTCAGAAACTAAGTGACGCGCGCCTCATCAACTAGCAATGAGTTCCAAAAGATATCCAGCTTGAACTTGAGGCACTCTCTAGCAATGCAACTATCAATGACTCAGTATGCAGTGTCATTTACTCGCGAAGGGACGACATTGGGTGCACTCGACAAATCAGCATGTGGAATCGTGGCTTACCTGTTTCACAAGAAGGACATGGAAGTCACGAGAAACTACCCCAAATTGGTGCTTGCATAATATATCGACAACAGCAATATGTCTGAAACTGAATTCTACACCCAACAATACATGAATCATGGACAATACTCTGTGTTCCTTTCCCGAAACAAAGTGAGGCGGGGTTGTGAGTTCTTGGCTCTTGGTGTTGTGAGGCAATTGGAGATCCGCCCTCGCTCAATGTGCCCCCCAAATGAACAAACAATACCTCAACCTAGTTTCAGCAGTGAATCGAACGGTATCGCTGTCACCCAAAAATCAAGAATTCTGGTTTGAGGTGCCAAGCATGTGAAGGTCCTTTGTTGTTGGAGGGGCACCCTTTCGACAGCCAGAACAACACCGGGCCAACCATTGTCAGGCTTCCTCTATGATTGAACAACAAAAACACCCGAGTCTCTCAAAACGCTTGATAGAGAGAAACACCTACACTTTTGATATTACCATTGCCTATGGTACCCCCTTCTTTTATAGGATCCAACCCCACTCCCCGAACCCCCCTTCCCCGACTTGTCTCAGTCGATGGTTGCATTCTGCACCATTTTTTGGTATGGGTCTTGGAGGTATACAAACGAAGGCTGTAAGGCGCTTTACAACCCTTGGCATGGTAGCCAAAAACGTGTTTTTTGCAAACCTCCACTAAACATGGCCAGAACACAAGAAAAAAAACACCATGCCAACAACAGTGAAGTATCCCAAAGACACCAACCATGTGCAGCAGACGCGAGTTTGGCTGTAAACCTGTGCACCTTGTGATGTACTTGGGGGTGACAATCTGAGGGTTTTTGTATTCCACCCTGGGATTACACCCTTGGACATGACCCAGAATGGTTCAACATAACACGGCTGAAAAACGGAAATGTGCCTAAATGGTGTCAGTACCCAGTGTGTGTGTATTCTCAGGGTGTAATACGAGGGGGCGCTGTAACCACGGCTGCAAATGGAAAACCAAACCACGATAAGGAAATCAGCGAACCGCGACAAGCAAACCAGTGAATCACGACAAGCAAATGAGTTCACAGATTACCTCGTCCAACAGGGGCCCTGTTTCTGTGTGTTAGGCGGCTTGAGGCCACTCACCTGTGTGAGTCCGAAATTAGTCGTGATTCAACTGCACACTGTGGTCGTTGTTCAAAAGAAATTAGTCGTAGTATAAGGAATCAGTCGTGGTTAGGGCACCTTCTTGTGTAATACAAACACACTTAGAGAAAAGGGTTCGTTGGTACTTCTCGTAGAAGTGGTACTTCTCACTTCACCCCTCGGGCAGTCACTGGCCTCTTAGCCTCTTGGAACCCCGGCCCGTTGCTCAGCGCCTGCTGCTTAAAAAGCTGCGCCCTGGCCGCTCAAAACGGAGCGTCCACCCTCAAACTAATGGCCCAACATGGGTAGCCTCAACACAAACACAAGCTCATGCGCGTGACGGAAGCCCGCTATGGTAATTGAATGTTTGGCCAAGTTAAGTCCAAGTCTCACATACTGAGCAGACTTGCCAAACAAGTAAACAAACCTTTTCTGTTTGCGACTACAATGGTCCAACCCAAAAAGCAGAACGTCCGAGAATTTAGGAAGTGAAAAGTTAAGTGGTTAGCCACCTGGGTTATAACCTACTTATATCCAGGTGAACTCCGGGTAAGACTTACAAGCGGGTTATAACCTAGGTTTAAAGTTACCGACAACCTTTTTAGCTTGGCCGAACACTCAAGTAGCTAGGGCATGGAACCGATTCCCAAATAAAACAATAACAACCACGGGGGCCCAATTTAGATGACAATCCTGGACGGTAAACAATGGTAGTGCGAACCCCCGAGTGGTTATTGAATGGTGGTTTGAACCCCAAGATAGGGCTGAAGGGAATCCCAAAACCATTTCAAGGTTTGTCCTCAACCATTATTTTCATTATTTTCATGGTGATTTTAATCTCAGGGTAGGGCCATTTGAGGGAAGCCTACGTGTAGGGTCACTCTGGTACCAAAGGACCCTCTGCGGGTTCCTTGGGTGTTCGATTCGCCTAGTAAGTAAGTTGTTAGTCTAAGTTATAATCTGCATAAAAATGCACCAAGGGGAGTTGTCCTTGCTGTTAGCAGGTTGTAACCCAGGTTCCACTTACTAACTTGGCGAATCGAACATTCAAGCACCAAGTGACCCCATTGCATGGCCCCTTGCCCCAGAAAAAAGCACGGGGGCCCTTGTTTCCATATGGATCTGTCCGTGAGCAAGTATATATGTGAATGTTATGCCCCGGACCCGAAATGGACACAAGACTTCGGTGGGGATACGAAGGTTCAACCACTTGTGGATGGTGTTGCTCAATTCAATTCCATAGAAGGGCCCAAACAATTAGAATAGAAATCAGCTTGCCGGAGCAGCCATAACATGTGGTGCGCACCATTGTGAGCAGTGCTGGCAGAGCCATGAAAGAGATGGGATACAAGATCCTTTGCCAGCACACAGACAGTGGCGCTATCTGCGGAGTCAGTGGCAATGTTGCATAGGGTTTCAGGTACTTTAGACCCATTCTTAATCATGGCTACAGGGGTAAACTATCAGTACCTTGTTTTGCCCATATTGAAAAGAAATATCGGAATGGGGCTTCAGGCACTTTAGGCTATACCCTCAATATCATGTCTCGAAGTTAAAATTCGCATGACTATGCTTCACCGGAGAGAAAAACACAAACTATATATGCATTCCGTAATTAGTACGTTTGACCGGTCGAGTCGAGTCGAGACGTTCCGCAAGCAGACATGGAGGTTGCTCTGCTTTGCGAAGCCATTTTGAGTCCAGACCAATGCAAAGTAGCTAAGCGCATATGTTAGCTGTGTAGAGGTAAACTATCAGTACTTTTTTTGCCCCTATTACCCAGACATATGGGGATATGACAGGCGAAACCATGGGAAACCGTTCTTGGTATGTATTGACAGGGGACTCATCAGTCCAAGGTTTCTTAGGTGTTGCAGGATTGCGTCCATCCACAGCATTGCCTCACGATTGTGGGGTCATTTCCTATTGGTGGATCCAAGGTGCTTTGCCCCCATTGTAGGCAACCAGTCATTTTGGTGTTTAAAAGATGCCCTTGGTTACCTACTCTCTTGCAAACAGATCCACTGGGAGAGGTATCATTGCACAAGTACTCCTTGAAGCCTGTCCTTCCACTATCGAGGTCTGATGTCAAAAGCACCGGCCGAGGGAAGGCCGCCGGCTTTCTCCGACGCCCCAAACCACTTCAAAATACTTTAAAAAAATGCGAAGCTGCCGGGACAATCGCTACCAAAAGGTCAAAAGGTCGGTGAGGAACAACTGAGATTTGTTTCTTGCTGATGCCCAAGTTGGCATTAACCATCAAGCTGTTCGAAGACTTTCGGACACACTTAGATGTCCTTTGCACCCACTACATTGCCAAAAGATGGAACAGCCCACTTAAAGGGGCGCTCGGGTACCTCAGGTAAGTGGGCAATAACCATGATTGTAACCCACTTACCATGGTTCTAAGTCTCCTAAGTGGGTTATAACCAGGCTTACTACCTACTACGTACCCTGTCCCAGCAGGTCATGGACATGTGAACATGCAATGGCTGTGGTGGCAGAACAGCCACAAGCAAAACACTTTGCCAGCAAGAATGAAAGCTGCCAGGAAGGTTTGGGAAGATTTCTTAACATTCATTTTAGGGAACCACCCTTTCCAGTTCCAAGTTGCTGGACAAAGAGTAAGCCCATCCTGCGCAAGCATCCCTTTTTGGTTAACATGCTCTGCGCTTTGCGAGTCTCTAAGTCTATGTCTTTCTCTCGCCCCGTGGCCGCGCAGCTCAAGCTAAGGGCCGAAATGGTGCCATAAGCTTGTGGATTGTTTTGAAAACTATGTCTAGTCATGATTATTGGGGTAAACTATTGATAAATATTCAGGCCCTTAGATTACGTAGAGCTGAAACGCTTCTGCAAGCACTTCCGGTGAAGAAGCTGATGGGAACTACAAGTCTTCGTCCTCCATCATCATGGGACCTGCGATCCCCATCGGAAAACAGTGCCCCCCCCCCCCCACCCCCCACCCCCCCCGACACACACACACACACACAGTATGTCCATTCTTAGATGTTCAGCAATGCAGAGTTAGAAAGTGGTTAGCCACCTGGGCTATATCCCACTCATGACAAGCGGGTTGTATCCTAGGTTGCCAACAACTTACTAAATTGGCAACAAACACCCCAGTGGGACCCGCATTTAGGGAATAGTTGGAAGAATCTCTATCCCCATGCCCAACTGGCAGAACATGTGGGACCCACCCTCCACACATTCCACATTTCGGGGGAGTACCTAGCATCTATAGTCTCCATGTCCAAAACGGAACTACAGAGCAAGCGAAAGGCCCTAGGGTTTAACCATTAAAATAATGGCCTTGCCCAGGAACCGGACCCAACTTTGATGATGAGTTGCTCCTGAACGGTAAACAATGGCGAAATATGAACCTAACTATGGTGGCAGGTTCCAGTGTGACACACCTCTCAAGGGTAAAGCTCCAGGTCATGCATCTCTTATGGCAGTAGACATGTCTTCGGCCTTGTCAAGTCTTGGTTGTTGACCCCTCTGCAAAAAGTTTGACTTGCTGTGGGTCCAATGGAAAACCCACTGTTTCAACCATAAAAGTGAAAGTCCAAAGATGCAGCCAACTAGCCATAATGAAGGTCCCCAAAAGAAGACTCGGACAGGACAAAACATCGAGAAAACAGAAAAGAACAAAACAACTTCCATTGTTGAAAGGCCCTCACGGACATGAAAGTGCCACAAACCCCTGCGCGACAACTTTCCAAGATGGTTGCCACCCCCAAACCGAAGCTACCAGGGGGTTGATGGGATATGCGACCATGCCTGTAAGGGTCTACGTTGTGGCTTGAAGGTAGTGGAACCCAAAGGAAGGTGCTGGACCGACCCTCCAACTACCCTTAAATCAACATCGCATCTTTCCCCAAACACAAAACCAACCTCACCCAAGCCCACCACCCTCACCTCCCTTCACATCTTTCCTTCCCCACCCTATCAACCACTGCATCAAACACCCCCCCCCCCCTCCCCCCCGCCATTTCGTGCCCACGTCTCATGGAGCCGAGCGGCCCATGGGGTCGAGGAACTGGACGGGCGCCCCCACGCCGTCTTTGGATTGCTTGTTCAAGGCCTTTGAATTGAAAGGGGGAGCGGGAAGGGGGTGGCGGAGGGGTCCCCTTAAGAAGGAAGAGGGGTGGGGGGGTCCCCGAATTTCGCTCTTGATGGTCCCTACCTTAAGGGGGAAGGGGTTGGGGGGGTCCGCGAAATTCCTTCTTGTTAGTCCCACCTTTAACGGGGAGGGGGGTGGGGGGGTCCCCGCCCCAATTCCTTTTTCAGTTGGGTTTCTCCTGAAATTATGTGCGCAGGGTTCCATGTTTTACTACTCCAAGGCAGACTTAAAATCAGGGGTCCCTTGTAGAAATCAGCCGCCCCTGGGTTTAAGCCCAGCCTAGCTTGTGGTAATAAAAAGAATTCCTGTAAGTGTGTGACAAAAAGGCTTCATTGGATGAAACCAGGATGGAGAACCCTTCAGGTGCTCAAATCGGTGAGGCAAAGTAGGGACCACCCACCCCTTGAAGGCCCCCCCCCTCCCACAAAAAAAACACAACAACACGTTTTGGGTACCTGGATGTTCGATACGCCAAGTCAGTAAGTTTAAAAGGCGACCTGGGTCATAATCCACTAATAACAAGGTTAACTCCAATGAAGGGGGGCCTTATAAACGGGTTACAACTCAGGCTACGATCACAACTTACTCTTGGTTGCTTTCTGCTCCCTTGCTAAAAGTTTAACTTTTAGTGGTTTAATGGAAAACCCATTAGTTGGCAAAAAGTTAAATTTTAACATCCGAGCAAAATGCACCAAAGTACGAACTTGGGGTAAACACCCAAGCACTGCCTAAGCCTTTAGAATGGAGCTTTTTGAGGGCCCTGGGGTGTGCCTGACAGTTGCACACAGTTTACATGTACTTCTGACATTTTCGAATTGGACGTGCAAAGTTCGCTGGAGCTGCTCAACAAAAACGATTTATTGCACTTAGGTAAGTCTGTCTTGTTGTTTGTGTTTCCTTTTTTGGTAGCAATCTAGTCGTTCTTCAAGAAGCTTGCACTTGCACAGTTCAGATTTATGAAAGTTTGGGCTGCAGCATCTGCCTCCTCCCCAGAAAAAGTCCGTGAGCGTCTGGGAAACCAAATTAATCAACCAAACCACGCAGCGCCAGAGACAAGTGGACTCGGACAGCTAGAGGCGCCTAGCTGCAAATTCTGCCAGAATTCCACACCCTGAATCAAAGGATCCCCAATTAAAGGACCTACATTGCTACATCATGGCTGATCGCTCGGCGTACCCCAGACCGGTGTGAGCTCGCCATAAAAAGCAAATGCTGTGCTGAAGCAGCCCGTACGAATAATGTTGAGCCTGGATTAACCGGAACCCCTAGTTGATTAACAGGCGTCCACAGTATTAATACGAGGTGTGGATTAAACCGGGGTCAGCATTACGTGCTCATCAACTGTTCAGCGCAGGCGCATGCTGCATCTTCCGCATCTTGTAGCTGTCCGGATCCATCACAGGAAGCCATTGCTCGTCCTCTTCAGGAAGGCCACGGAACCGAACCCTCACCTTCCTGGAGTGCTCGCTCCCACCGCTCTCCGCACAAGCGGCAAGGTACAGCAAGAGAAAACAGATTGGGGAAAGCCTATACCTAGAGTCTCCATGACCCTTGAAAAATGGGGTCATTACTCAAAGTTTTGGGGTCATTGACCCATTTTTTAAAGGGTCGTGGAGACTCCAGGTATTTGTTTTCTAGACTCTCCATGACCTATCGGGCGGTGAGTCGTGACTCGTTTCGGAGTACATGATCCCCCCCCAAAAAAAAAAACAACCTACCTGGAGTCTCCATGACCTTCAAAAATGGGTCAATGACCCCAACATTTTGGGTAATGACCCCATTTTTTTAGGGTCATGGAGACTCTAGGGGAGACTGGAAACAGCGGGGCGTCTCGTGACTCAGCTCACTGTAACAAAGGAAGCTCGAAAGAAACCCTGGGCGCTTTGCCATGGGCTCCCTGGAGTCCCGTCGCAAAAATGAAAGGTGTTAAAATGGCCTACCCAAAACCATGGACAGAACTAAAAAGGCGGCCGCACCCATTTATGGCTGGGCTTTGATTGTGGCTCATGTTGAAACCAACCAATGGACATACAAAAAACAGTGAACCGCTCGCGTCCCCATCTTGAACAACACAGTGGACACAGCTTCCCCTTTTTGTTCGGCCGGGTTCGCCACGAAGAGCCTTCTCGGGCCGAAGCCTTGCTCTTGCCATTTGTTCGCACAATTCGCAACTGGCCAAACTTTCACAAGGATTGCCGAACTGTTTACCGGATTTGCCGAAAACTTTCAGCAGGTCGCCATCGAATCACCTTCATTTCACCAATCCATCCAGTCCTTGTGCTGAAACCCAGCGGGCGCCGACTTGGCGGGACATGACTTGGACATCTTCGTGCATACGCGGGACACAAACTTCTCCGCAGAGAGCCTAGCGAGCGATCCACCCGACGGCGATCAAGGAGGCTACATACTGAAAGGGGTAGGGTGCTTGGTAAGTGATGAGTAAGCCTGGCTATAACCCACTGAACGGAGACTTACAACCATTGTCCCATGCTAAGTGGGTTATAACCAGGCTTGCTAACCACTTATCATGATTAGAGTTAGGCCCAGTTATAGAATGTATATTATTTTTTGCTTCACATGGAGTCACGAGTAAAACGTAAAATGTATCCCCAGTCTACTCCACTTCTGAAGTACCCTGCCCCTTGAAAGTAGGAGGTTACATACCCTCCACATTGCCGCGGAACCGTGTGACGTTTCGAGGTGAGGGAAGACGACGATTGATTTACAAGCAACCATCTGGTGGGTTCCTTGCTGGTGGACAGATGGGAAATCAGAACGGGGGGTTGGGGCAACTCACTTCCTGAAAAAGAACTGGCGCCCAAAAAAAGTGAGAAAAAAAACTGCTTGTTCGCCACAAAAAGCGGTCTCAGTGGCCCAAAAAAAGGAACGAACTGTTTGTTTGCCCCAAAAACGGGTCTTAGAGCACACTTCGAAACGGAACGCAGCGAGTGAGACCATCGAAACAGCCATCTCAGGTACTCGGACCTGGGAAAGATGCACCGAACGACAAGCAAAACCTACCTGGAGTCTCCTTCTGACCCTTTAAGAATGGGTCAATGACCCCACTATTGTGGGTAATGACCCCCTTTTTTAAGGGTCATAGAGACTCCAGGTAGGGTTCAACCCGTGTTAAATTAATGGTTGAAACAAATCAGATGATAACAATAACAATCCTCAACAGAATGGTATAAGCCCAACCATTCCTTTACCGGTGGTTTGAACCTGGGGCGCGCTGATCAAGGGTGCAAGTTCCACTATCACCTATGGACCTCCAACGAGATCAAGGCCTCATCGGCTCGCCCCCATTTGCCCCCTATTGGACTTTGGGTTTTATTCAAATTGTTAAGGTTTATAAAGGAAATTGCTAGATCTCTCAAAACACCAGGTTGTAGAACCGAATGTATAGGGTCTTTGGGTGCTGCTTCAGTGCCTCTAGCCGCTTTCATCCCTAATCCAAGTGCCTCCTGAGAAAATGTACTTTGCCACGTAGCATGTTACAACTTTGGGTTGTATCTTCCGGCTATGGTTGGGTTGTTGTTTCTGTCTGGTTCTTTTCACTCAACCTTTTTCCTGATCGTTTCGGGTCCGGGGACACGGGATGACCCTTGGGGAACCCACTAAGATGATATTTCAGCCATGGGGAAACTTGCCCGTGGTGAAAAACTGGGGGCCACCATTGATCAACCCCTACATCAACTGGGGCCTTGCGCGCCAAGACACTTTGTGGGCCAGCGAATTATGAGCTGCCATTTGCTTAAGCCCGCTGGAAACAATAACATATTTCCAGTACCTTTAAAACCAACAAGACAAATTAATCAAACAAAACAATATTATTCAGCAAATGGAAGCGAGGTGTGGTTTTGGATTTTGGGGATTTGACCTCCTTGTTCTCATGAACCACATGTGGGAAGCTCCTCCCTTGTTCTCATTCTTTTTTCGGAGCTCGCCTGGAACGAGGTTGCTATGAAGGAAAGCTCCTCCCTGGTTGGAGATTCTGCGATTAGGTGTCCATGTTGTCTCCAAATATGCAAAATCCATCTCCCTGGGAATGCCATTGAAATTTTGCCACCCCAGATCCAAACAAGTCAATGTCAACAAAAACACGACCTGGACGTTCGTGGCCAACGTCAGGTAAGTATACTGAATATAACCATGGTGAGGGAACCGACCACGGTTAAATAGAAACACGGTTATAACCCATTTTTTCAGTAGAGCGGTTAGAAAAAGGGTACCCGTTTTTTTTCTGTAGTCTATTTTAGTAGGGGAACCCCTCCCCAAAAAGGGGAAGAAGGGCACTACTGGGGGACCTAGTTCCCTTGGCAACGACATCCAACAGGAACCACAGCGGGAGCCCTCACACACTCAGGGAACTTGGCCATGTGTCCAAGCCCCCAAGATGCAGAAGGCGAGAAGCTTCTTTGGCGTCTCCGTCCGGTAGTGCTTGAAGAGCCTAGGAAAATGTCAAAAGAGGCAGTACGCCCCATGCCCAAACGAGCCAAACCGAGCTACACAAATTAAATAGACAACATAGGTTATTTTTTGCAGGGTGTTCGGGCTTCCTACTTGGGATACTAATAGGGAAACGGGATCCGAATGTCAAGATTCTCAACATTGGATCGCTACCAAAACCCTTTTTGCCCGGACAAAAGGCACTGGCTGACCAGCTTGCAAGTGACCCAACAAGTAGAAAATGACGTGGAACCCTTTTAAGGGTTCAGCATTTCCGCACAGAAGCCACACGGTGGACCCTTTTTGTGGTGCACCATTCTTAGCGGGAACCTACTAACAGGAACAGGAATATGCCGCGGAACAACTGAAAAGCTACAGTAGCACGACAGCTTTAACCCAGGCGCATCTCTGTCATGTCTTCTCGATACTCGTCAAAGACGGCACCTGGCGGTCTAGGCGGAGAGCAGTCCCTGCATGGTGGGACATACCCTTTCTGTATACCAAAGAGGGACTCCCATCCCTGTGACTACTTTGTGATTTGAAGGGGAGGTCCCTTCTTGGATGTTCAGCCAACTTAGTAAGTAGGTTATAATCATGGTTATAATCCAGGTTATAATCATGGTTATAATCCAGCTTGCAATTATGGTTGTAACCTACTTAATCAAGTTGGTTGGACATCCAAGTTGGCCTCAAGATAGCATCGCAAAACATGGCCGCAAAGCCATGTTTTCCACACCAATGGCCTCACATATCATGTGGATCCCCTCACACAAACCTCTTGAAGGACACCGGGATACAAACATAAACCACGATCCTGACGTACCGTGGATTTGTTGCACCACCTAAGAAGCGTTTCAAGGTGGTGCGAAAGGATTTCGTCCATCCACATTATTAACGCAAACAAACATGATCAGCGGTGGTTCTCCAGTAGAGAGGTCAGAATAAGGGTACCCTTTGTCCTGTGGTCTATTTTAGTAGGGGAACCCCCAAAAAAGGGAAGAGAGGGACCTAGGTGATAAAGCGGTATACACCCCTTGGACATGCTGATGATGTCCGACTTCTCCCCTGTTGAGGTACTGAAGGTCTGACAAAATCTCAGAGGATTCCGACCGTGGATGTTCCGTTCGATAGCGAAGCCCCGCTTTGTTAAAGGGTTAACTTCGGAGCTTGGATGAAGAGGCCAAGTCAGGAAAATCAAAAGCTTGAAAGGTCGGTTGTGGACTTAACACCCATCCAAAAACCAGTGCCTATTCTTAACCGATTAAAAGGAGACTTATGAACATAGGTGGGCTTTTGGGAAAAATCGGCGGGTTTCCCTGGTCCCTGGTAAATGTGATAACACCCATCTAAACCCCTGCAATGCATTCTGAACCAAAGTGACCGATCAAAATGACACCTACTTCAAGGGGCATTGTGCTTAGTAAGTTGGTAGCATCCATGGTGAGATAACCCACAACGGCCATGGTGCCATGGTTACAAGGTTATAACCAGGCCTACTAACCGGGCTAACCGCTTAATGTTGACCCCGTATTCACCAACCCCTGCTCATCCATAGGGGGGATGTTCCCCCTCCAAAAGTAATGATTCCAAACGAAACCCAAAAACACCCCCCTATTACGAAACAGGAATTGATTAATATGGCTGTGGGTCAAAACCCTGTACTACTGGTGAACATCAAAATAGGTGGTACATGGGTGTTCATCCGCCCCAAAATGGAGGCATAGGTTCCGATCGCCCGTCTGAGTATGCTTCTGAAGCAGGCCAGCTGCACGACAGGCGTGGGTCAAGGTGCTGCACTCGCGTCGGCACTCCCCAACTCCGTCGCGCTGCTGCAGCAGCAACTCGCTGTCCTGCGGCGTACTCGATATTTGGAGTAGAACCTGACGGATCTACCTGGAGTCTCCATGACCCTTTAAAAGTTGATCAATCCCCATTTTTCAAGGGTCATGGAGACTCCAGGTATGGGTGTGTCTCTCTTGAGGGTGCCATTTTTCGGGTTGCTTTGAAGGGAAGCCAAGGGAAACTCTCTATTTGTTGGTGTCCCAATGTTTGGGTGGTTCCCCCCAAAAAAATGGGTTGCATCCCAGGGGCTTATTCTCCTGGGTCAATATTAGATTGCTGAGGTTCAAACCACCATTCAAACAGGGGGGTCATTCAATCAGGGGGTCATGCAACCACCATTGTTGACCTAAGGTTAAAGTCCAACTACTAACCCCAGGGGTTGAATTCGAGATACAGCTTACTATACCTGGAACTTCCAGCATGTAAAATTAACGCCGTTTCCCGAAACAGCTATATTTATCGCCGCTTGCTAGAAAGAACACTCTTTTGCGGAGAAAAAAACCGCTCGCCGTGATTCCAGCTCGTGCCAGGCAGACAATTACGCCATTTTGCCAGCAAATTACGCCGTTTTGGCGGCAAAAAGAACGCCGTGTTGGCGCAAATTACGCCGTTTCAGGTTTTTGATCTGCACCAAAGTGTGCAACCATTCAAAAATGCCCGCAGGCAAAACGAATCGCCGCTTGGATAAGAAACACACTTTTACCAACACAGCGGTAATTTCGCACAGAATGGAAGACCCAGGTATAGCCATACAAAGGGCATATACTAGTTTACTACCGGATAGCGCTTTGAGGGTAGTAGAAGCCAGCTTAGTGAGCAGGTCTTCCCCCGAACGATTGGTTCACCTCTCCCTTAGGGCCTTAGAGCCTTAGGAGGGGCAAAAATGTAATCTATATTTTTGAGCCCCTATTCAAAAAGCGGCCCAACAACGATAAGCAGCATCGTGATTCACATCCAAGAAAAGGCTGCTACATGGTGAGCACTTGGGGTCTATGCTTTTGTTGCAACCCCCTTCTCTTGGCGTACGCTTTGTTGGGGTTCTTGCAACATACTGAGTCTTACTGAATGTCTATGGCACAGAATACCCCACCTCAATCAACCCGCCAAAGTGAAACTGGGTTCAAGTTTAGTTTGAACACAACCCAGGTTGAAATCGAGTCCTGCTGAGTGATGTCGTAGAAGGTAATCCACTCTCCTCAGAGTCGCTGATGCGCATCGCGCCACTTTGGCCCAGTCACTTTGAAGCGACATGCCAAGCAACTTGCTGCTAGCTTGAAAACTTGCCTGCTCCAATCGGATGCCCGAAATGCAGAAGCAACAACTCAAAGTAGGGTGCCGTGAACAGCGGGAAACAAACACGGGAGCTTCCCTACCTGAACTATCCAGCAACTGTCAGAAGTCTAAATCATTTTCTGACAGGTTCCCAATTTACCAGCGTTTGTTGTTGGGGGGTTTGCCAAATTTGACACACTCCCTTGCACAGAAAACAAAGCGACCATACTCCCCCGACACCCAAAAACACACCCACACACAACTAGGAACTGGAATGGGGTTGCTGGGCATGATTTCAAATGGCTGCATGATCAGAGTAAAACCATGTCGGTATTTATTTAGCCCGTTATAACCCTCCGCCTAGGATTTATATTTTTCGTACCATCATCATTTGAATCAAGGGCCGAAATCCTTGCTGGTGCCGACAAAACACACCGGCTCGCAACAAGCCGCGCAGGTCGCAATCCACCCTAGAACAATCCCAAACCCGCCCTAGACCCAAGCCAATCCAACCCAGGCCCGCCGTAAACCAGCCCTCGCCAACCCGCAAGCCGCTCTAAACCCAACCTTCACAAACCCACAAGCCACGGCTCCGAGGTTGTCGTCCGGATCGCAAATGGCATCCAGAACCTCGCCGATCTCCACCTCCCCGAGTCCTCGAGGGGATGGAGTGGTACCACTTGAAGGGGCGATCGGGTACCGCACGTAAGTGGTTGGTAAGCCTGGGGACATAACGCCACTGAACGGAGACTTAGAACCATGGCTTGTGTGGGTTATCTCACCAGGGTTAGGCACTTACCTGACGTACCCGATCGCCCCTTGAAGTAGTACAGGGTTGCTTGAAATTGCTGCTTCCTCCCTTCAAAGAACCAACATTTCGTACTAGATGGGTCGACCAACATCTCAATGCAAAGAATTTGAAGGACGGTCACTAATTGAAAGACACACCACAATATCCCTCATGACCCATAAGTCATGGTCAAAACTATACGGCCAATGGACATGGCTCTCTTGATGAACAAAAATACTATGGTTCAGTATCCTCACTGCCAGGTGGATGACCATCCTCGTACACCCCAAGAAAAGGAACCGGTCTTTTGACCATGGCACACATGCTTCCAGAGGTGGTTGTACCCCTTTTACATACCCCTTGGGCAAATGAACCCCACTGGCCTGATGTTCACACCATATCCTCTCCCCCCAAAGATGTTTTTTCCCATATATACAGTCTTTGCTGGAACCCAGGGAAGCCAAGGGACCGGTATGTACCAAGCCACCCTTAGACAGTTGAACAACCACAACGTGCCAAATGTGTGCGTTGAAACCGTGGCCAGAGACAACAAAACAACATCGAAAATACAGTGGATGGACGAAATCCTTGGAATGCTGGACCGTTTTGGTGCATTCGGACTGCGAGGCCCTCGATGCAACTTGAACCCATCCCGAGACTATCCCGAGACCCGTGCGGGGCAT